AGTGAACGGGYTCCCTGCCCTCAGATGCTCCTGAGTGGGTGGAACACCCCACATGACCGTGCAAACAGAAGGCCAGGGAGTCGTGTTGATGGAGCTCGGACAAGACGGCGACCACTCCTGTTGAAGGGCAAGAGAGGCTGCCATCGGGAAGGGACACTAGGCAGGAGGGGGAAGAGGGATCTGAAAACAGGGTTTCTTAACCTTGGCACTATTCAAACTGGGGGCCAGATCCTTCTTGGTCATGGGGTGGGGGCTGCTGTGTGCACGGTAGGATGGCCAGCAGCTTCCCTTGAGCTTTGCTGAAGAGTTGCGACAGACACGAGGAAGGTTCAAATCGGCCACAGGCAATTTCGCAACTCATGAACAAGGCTTTGTTCCAATAAAGCTTTATTTAAAAACACAAGCAGTGGGCCAGACTCCCTATGGGCCTCAGTTTGCCAACCTTTCACCYGGACTGTTGAGAAATAAACCTCCTGTGCCCATTGGTTTTGAGTCTGAGTATTCCAAGTAGGTAAATCTGCTAACTGCTTCATGAGAACTCTGCTCTTAATGCCGCACATGGGTGCCCTCGGCGTTGGTTAGAGCCAGAGATGCAAAGCCCACCCCCGCRGCTGCCTGAGTGTTAAGCCTCTGCTCTGCTGAATAAGCTCTATTTCCAAGGGCCAGCATTGCTTGGGCGTAATGGTGCACTGTGTTGACTCCAGCAGCTTGGGAAGCCATTTGTGGACGTGGCTGTGTTGTAGCAGTGTGGCAATCACAAGAAACAAAACGAGCTCTTGGTGTATTTTAAGTCGACTCTTCTAGCCCAGGTAGGTGAGACGGATTCACATAAGTTTCTTCTCTTGTGAGGCTGGAGGACCTTCTGTTCCAGACAGACAGGACTTGGCCATTCTTTTTAAAATGTGGTCCTTGTTTTAGTCCTTTCTTGGATCATCTCAGTTGTACCTCCGTTTTCTGCCTGGCGATATTTCTGCTCACCCAGCTGTGCTCTGGCAGGACTGTGAGTTACATCTGGTGTCTCTGGGGAATGGCCACAGAGGTGGTGGCTTGGTGTTCCCTGGCAGCAGTCCAGAATCGAGCAGGAATGGCGGTTGAGTAGAGCTGCCGGTAGTGAGGGCATCAAAACCAGCTCACTGTTCTCTACCAGGGTGGGGTCGATTGGACACATCTGGAGACATGTTTGATGGGCAGGCTGGGAGAAGGATGCTACTGGCATCTAGAGGGGAGAGCTCGAGGGTAGTGCTGCTGAGCACCCTTCAGTGCACAGAACGCAGCCAAGAATGAAGGCCAAGGTGTCGGGAACCCCCGAGTGGGCTCACTGGGACACTCTTGTAAGTAAGTGGCGGGCCTGCTGGCTTCAGGCTGGCCTAGAGCTTGGCACCAGGGTCACCAACCCCTGGCCCTCACACGGCCTTCCATCACGACGCTGCCAAGCCCTCSTTCTCCTCCCTTGTGACCTGCCACCRKGGCCCAYGYTRGGGTGCTGTCTGYCACTTGCATTCTGATCTTGGACTCGCTACGTATGACTCRCTGGACAGCAGAGCTGTGTCGAACGCCGAGGGAGAGCTAACGGGTGCGGATGGAGAGGTCTCCGTTSGGGCACACTGAACGTGTTCATGAGCCTTGGAGTCCGTCTGGGGGAGGGTGAGGTGCTGGCGCTGGTGGAGGACAGGCTCGCCCTGGAAGAGACGCATCTGGAGGTGCCATGTCTTCCAAGATGGCCTCACCCAGCCCCTTGGCACCCGCTCARTAGCAGTTAATGCTGGTTTCTGGTGCAGGCAGCAGATCATGCTGGTCTGTGGTGGCTCAGTGTTGTCTTGTGACCCYACCCCTACAAGCTGAGTGACGTGGGTTTGTCCCTCCAGTGTTCGTTCCATGGCTTATGGATCCGACCCCTCAAAAGCTCTGGGGGACCGGATCTGTACACAGGTAAGTAGAGCAGAGAGTGGCTGCAGGAGGCCCCCTGGATTCCTGTAGGTTTTTGCAGCAGGGTCAGCGTGAGAGCCAGCCCTKTCGGGGGCCAGTGTGTGCCCAGTCCTTCCCTGGGCCTTTTTGTGAAACCAGGAGGAGGAGAAAKGGCCTGTGACCTGCAGTGCTCAGTCCCGTCAGCTAGTCAGGACACAGAAGGGAAGACAGCCAGGGYGATGGCTCCTGTGACCACGAGAATCATGAAGTCTTAGGAGAGCAGCCACCTCCACCTGAACATGCAGCAGGGCGTCAAGCCGAGAATCCACCGTGGCCCACTCCCTCTGTCCATTGGAGTTTTTGTAGTCTCTACCTCTCCAGAAACGTGAATGACCAAAACTTGGGGTAATAACAGTCACTGGTTATGCCAGGCCTGGGGTGGGGAGGTCACAGGAAATGAAGGTGGAGAAAAGGGACTTTTGTTATGTCCTCCAATGTACTAGTCTGTTTTGCTATAATGAAATACCTGASGGAGGTTACTTTATAAAGAAAAAAGCAATTTACTTATTGAGCAGTGCTGGGGGATGGAACCCAGGGCCTTATGCAGGYTGGGCCAGTGCTTGGCCTCTGAGCCTGAGAGTTTCGTTTTAACTGTGGTGTGGAGGTCCAAGGTCGAGGGGCTCCTTCTGTCAATGGCCTTCTTGTTGGTGCGGAGCATCACATGGCAGGAGACGTGGACCTATGGCGGGAGCATAGGGAGGAGGGCCCACTCACCTCGCCACAGGAGACGGGCAGCACACCCTTGTCTCTGGATTCTTTCTCTTCTTGTAAACCACCGGGATTCAGTCTTGCAGGCTCCACTCCTGGCCTCATCTAGTTCTTACTGCCTCCTAGAGGCCCAGCCTCTATCTAAACAGCAGTGGGGAGGGATTCTGAACAGCAACCTAATGAGGTAGTGGTGGTGTTGTAAAGAGGGATGCAAGACTCTGTGCAACTGACTTTAAAATGAATAGCAACCACCATATGACTTTATTAGATAAATATAAGCTCCRGATTCTGTGTGTAACCAGGCGATGTGGGTTGAGGCGAGAGGGGGAGAGAGRGAAGGAGAACAYACAGCAGTCTCCGTGGTGGAGGAACACTCCCCCCTAGTGGGCAGATGGGTTATTGCAACGGCAGCCTAGGTGTGGAGGGGGAGAGGCAGAGGGGCCCAGGCTGGTGGGGCCCAGGGACCAAGGCTGACTGCAAGAGGCCAGGGCCGAGCAAGGCTGAGAGGCCCTCGTCCGGCATGGGGAGGTCTGTGGCCTGCAGGCCAGTGATGCCGTCATAGTGAGCAGAACTTCCTAACAGGGGAATTAGGAGTGCTCGCTCCTAACCACAGAGGCCACTTTACAAAGAAAGCAGGAGTGAGCACACCTGCCACAGGCATCTGTCAGTAGAGTGACACCCCTCTGTCCCCAAGAAAGAGCTGTGGAAGGCTCCTGATCCTCAGTCCCCCAGGCTCACATGCCCTTCCCTGCAGAGCCTTGTGTTTTCTAACATCGACTTTCAAGTACCATCATGCAATCCAAAGCTTATCTGAGAACGTCTGGAATTTTTCAGGCGTTTTGCTTATTGGCAGCTGGCGTTTGGAGACGAGGAGAGGAAATCGGGAAAGGGCTGGTGTCGCTCGGCGGTAGAGCACGTGCCTGGCATGTTTGAGGTGCTGGGGAATGAGACGGATCAGACCGTTAAGTACATGGACGGATCCCAGGTTATGCAGAATTGTAATGCGCCAATAAAACAAAAATAGAAAAGGGAGAATCCCCAGCTTCCGGAGAACCGCTGGATGCCATACCCGCTGGCCTGAGCGCCTCTTTCCTGGGGAGTTTGGTGTGTGGTTCCCTGTCCCCGCCTGCCTGTGAGCGTTCTGAGCCAGGCCCCGGCTGCCCTCTTCTTGGGCCGAGGGACGGCTCCTCATGTGCACTGCAGCTGGGGCACAGACCGGCACTGAGCTACGGCAAAGAGCAATTCAAACCAGGAGTCGGTGGAAGCCTGAGGTTGAATTTCTGYAACGGAGACATCCAGCCAGGGCACTCGGGCAAACCGTTCTGCCTCTTAATATAGTCGGTGGCAACTTACAGCTGTTTCAGCTTAGGGTTCTTCAGCTTCACAGTGGTGCAAAGGCAATAGGAATTCAGTGGAAACCTTACTGCAGATTTTGAATTTGGGTCTTTCCCCAGGCAAGCTATAGAAGGGCACACGCCCTCTCTCTAGATAGCAGCCGCAGAGCTGTAGCTCCCTGTCACCCACGTGGTCACGAGATGAAAGCCCATTCCGTACAGTATGCTATATTGTCAGCATTTCTTGGATACTGTGTTTCGTGTCTTTAGATCCCATAATGTACAAGATGCCCATYAGTGTTAGCTTCCCATTACTGTGACAAAATGCCTGAGATAATTGGCTTATAAGGAGGAGAGGTTTGCTTTGACTCATGGATTCAGACTTTTGRTCCATGGTTGCTTGGCCCTGGTGCCTCTGGACCTATGGTGGGAGCCTAGGGAGGAAGGAACCACTCACCTCACCGCAGCCAGGAGACAGACAGGAGAGGGCTGGGGTCCCAATTTCCCCTCCAAGGCCTCACCCCCAGCAAGCCAACTTCCTCCCAGTAGGCCCTACCTGTTCAAGGTTCCACTACCACCTGTTGGCACCCTGGGCAGGGATGAAGCCTTCAACGCAGGGGCCTTGGAGGACACCCAGCCTAAACTGCAGCACCATCTGTGCAGGTCCGGGAGAGACTTCAGYGCTGGGTTGTAGAGCAGGCTTTGTCTTAATGGTTCTGCCCAGCCGCCAGGTGATGAAGGTTCTGAACGCCCTTACGGTTGGCCAGGCGAAGCTCGGGTGCCGGCGGGTCCGGGCTGCTCTGTGCATTTCCAGCTTCCCAGGGGTTAATCAGGGCGTCACCCCACATTAGTCAAGGCACGTCTGTGGGCTGGGAAGGCTGTACTGCCGAGGGCATTTCCCACCTCGCACCCACCCACACAGGGTGACCTTGGCCTCATGTTCCTCCCTCCCACTCCTCTCACCTCCACCCGCTTGGCTTCCTCCCCCGGCAGGTTTTTCCCACTCGGCCTTCACGTTCGGGATCGAGAGCCACATCAGCCAGTCCAACATCAACGGGACACTGGTGCCGCCGGCTGCCCTCATCTCCATCCTGCAGAAGGGACTGCAGTATGTGGAGGCCGAGATCAGCATCAACGAGGTAGGCACACCCCGGGGCCTGCCCCACCGCTGGCCCGCGGAGCCCTGCATCTAGATGTGCATGAGCAGGGTGCAGGACGGAGTCCGGGCTTCCCTGGGCCGTCTCAGGGTGGGCTAAGGCAGCCCTCGCTGCCCGTCTTAGGGGGATCTGTGTTTTCCATGTAAATATGCAGAATTGCAGGCATGACCGGAAGGAGCGTCAGGAGGAGAGGGGGTGTCGGGATTATTTCTGTGATCATACTCGGAGGCTGAGGATGGAGCAGTGAACTGAGTCCTACCAATTCGCTTGTGTCCCCTGGTGCCTTKCAGATTGAGATAGTTGGTGCCAGTTTTACAGCACATTGGAGGATTGGTTGTTCAGGTTCTAAGGGGCTTCCTCGCCCGCCTCTGTACTCGAGATTCTCTAGAGAAGATTCTCTTGGCTTCCTGACATCTGTGGAAACCTCTGGCCATCTTCACCTGGATCCCACCCTTACTGAACTCCACCCTTTTCAGAGATCTGGCCACAGCCTACCCTGCTCTGTCCCGCCCAGCACACCCAGCCTTCCAGGGCTCCCTCCCTCCYGTATTCTGACACTAGTCTGACCCTTATGCCTTTCTTATTCAGAGCATTTTATTCAACTTTATTTCAAAAATAATGTATCTTCTTTTCTGTCTCRTGAATTCTGGTGTCGGCCATTTTCCGCCAGCCTGTGTCTTGGAAACCTCCCAGTCTGCCTGTCTYTTGCTCCTCCTTCCTTGGTAGTGTCCCCCTCCTTTCCTTAACATTGCATGCGTGGGAGTGGTCTGCCTGACTCTTTCGGGCCCCACCTGGTCACCTGGTCTGTGTCTRTAGAACCAGCCATCCTGGGGAGATGAGCACGTGACCCCTGGTCCCCCCACGAGCTCTCAGATCGGGGGATGTACCATCTGATTTTCCTCTGCCTGCCCGTTTCTGTGGCTCTCAAGGCCAAAATCCCTCCGTGATGTCTCAGCCACCCAACGCCAGGGTGTCTAGAGGTCGATGAGAGATCTCACTTGGCAGAAGTTTCCAGTCACTTAAGAAAATGCGACATTGTGCTTTAGAATGTAGATGAGGAGCTTTTTTTCATGGCTGCGGGCAGTGATCATCTAGCACCTTGGCCAGCCGTTTGGGGAGGGACTGCATGAAGGAGGAAGGTCACCTGGGAGCATCAGGACCGCTCAGCCTCGGCCATTGCTTCCACGGCTACAGTCCAGGGGGCAGGGGGCCGGGGAGGCGGTGTATATCGTTTCCTGTAGTTTCTGTGGTTTCAAATAGTGCGTCGTCATCAGAAATCCGGTGGGCTGATAGGCCTCAACTCCTCCTCATTTCTGAGGTCACTCAAGTTCAGCACTCGGCAGACACAGCGTGGAGGCATGTTGCATTTCATGCAACTCAAATATCCGAACGAACTTCCTCCCCTATTTTGAAGTGTGTTTAGAAATTTCTCATGGTTGATACAAACCAGAGAATCAAACGGCGATCGAAAAAAAATGTGACTCAGAACCAAGCTATTTTTGTGGTGGGTTATATCATGGCTTCAGCGTGGCCGTCCTTTGAACCCAGAAAGTCATCCCAAATAGCCCCAAGTGCTTCTTTTATTAAATCAAGTGGACAAATGCACCGGTAATCGAATGCTGAATGGCCGTAGTCATTTCTAAATTGTGCTTAATGCTACCAAAGAGTTCCCCCTCCCACGTAAGTGGCTGGTTATTCACAGAGACTTTCCAGCAGCCCTGAGCACGGGGGTGGATTCCCAGCCTCAAGATTCTGCGCTGGGGGCCGGGGTCTCTTGGGAAAACCCCCTGTGTGCTCTAGAGGACGTGGGRCTGCATTCCTGCTGGCACCCACCTGAGGGCACCCACCTCTCCACCCCACCCCCTCCCTTCACCCGGTGGCTCCAGACGTGGAGAAAGGTAACCCAGGATGCAAAATGTCACGGGATGCAGTGGTTCTGGGCCGGTGTCCTTAATGCCCAGATGTGGCTCACTGCTTAGGGATGTCAGTGCTGCCACTCWGCTGGGTCTCCAGGACCCTGCACAGAGTCCCTGCAGCCTGCGCCCCTGGGTGCCCGCTGCACCCGGGACCCTGTGTCCTCCTGCGCGGGAGCTGACCAGCTTGCTTCCACAGGATGGCACGGTGTTCGACGGCCGCCCCATAGAGTCCCTGTCCCTGATCGACGCCGTGATGCCGGACGTGGTGCAGACGCGGCAGCAGGCGTTCCGGGAGAAGCTCGCGCAGCAGCAGCAGGCCAACGCCGCCGCTGCCGCCGCTGCAGCCGCTGCAGCCGCCGCCACGGCCACGGCCACGGCCACAGCCACCGCCACCACCACCGCAGCCACCCCAGCCCCCGCAGCCGTTTCCCAGCAAAACCCACCAAAGAACGGAGAGGCCACCGTGAACGGGGAGGAGAACGGCGCTCACGCCATAAGTAAGTGTGGGTTGGCGGGCTCCCGGCAACTGGGGCCCCGTGCACCAGGACCCCCTCCCAGGGCTTTGCAAACAGCCGGCCTTGGGAGGTCGGCCTGCGCCTTTCTCATCCAAATTCATCTTGGTGGTAGGGGATCTTGCTCTTCTGAGAACCCAAGCCTATCCAGGCCACGTCCAGTATGAGTCCCKTCCAACAAAAGCAAAGGTGCTGGTTCCCAGAGGCCTTGGGTCCAGCTCGAGCCTGGCACTGTGCAGGCTTTAGGCCAAACAGTGGGATGAGAGTTGAGCTCACTGTGACTTCTGGGGCACCCCGCCCAGGCGTGGGGAGTCATCTTATTAGGTCTGCCCCTTGAGGTTAGTCCGTGTTAGGCCATGGCTCAGGAATGTTGAGCAGATAAACCAGAGATCCTTATGGACTCCAGAGGCTCTGCTTGGGCGTCCGAGTTCACATGCATGTGCCTGTTTGTGTGTATATGTGCATATGTGGTGTGGCTGAGTGTGTGCCTGTGTATGTATGTAGGGKGTGTGTGTGTGCTTCCGTAGTTAGAAACTGGCTTCCTTCATGCAGCTGGAGGGTGGAGAATGTGACACTGGCATCTGACCCCATAGTCCCATCGCAGCAGAGAGCTGCCTAATGGCCTCTGAGGCTTCAACCCATGGCCATGCCCTGTGGCTATTTACCATCCACAGGTTACAGTCAGGTGGCACAAAGGCCATCGCCCAACACAAGATAAAGACCCCCAGTCGCATCCCACAGGATCACTGTTCATAAGGCCCAAAATTGCGGAGACGAATGAGAAAATATCTGGCTTGTACAGAAGAGTCACGGTCACTGCAGTGGGGTAGGACCCTCAAGTTTTCAGGAGCAGGAACCATAGATGTAGTTGTTTTTGTCATCTTATGTCACCGAAAAGCATTTATAGTTAGTAAACTTTGAGAAATCATTGTCTGCCAAGGAAGAAATTTTGCCAGTATTTAAACTGCACCCATTTCTTTTAAATCTTTAGAAACTATAAAGTGGTATCCATGTCATTCCCAAGCCTGGAAGGCATGGGTATGTCTTTTCTGTCCCCCGAGTCCCATGCCCTCCCTGGCATCCACAGCCAGCTCTTGTCTCGCAGTAAGGCAGCCTCTCCACTCTACCACTGCAGTGGACACTGTGGGCCGATCTGAAGTTAGACTTAACCCTGACCCACACAATTCTCTGTCCTGCAGTTTGAGAGAGAAACGGCCACTTTCTGGTATGGTTCTCTTGCGGGGCTCTGTTACTATAATGAAATACCTGTGGTGAGCAGCTCATAAAGTGGAAGGGTTTATTTTGGCTCACAGTGCTGGTGATTCCAGTTCAAGATCGGGCAGCTCCGTTGCTTTAGGCCTCTGGCCAGGGCAGGAGCATGTGGCAAAGCAAACCACTTATATCGCCAGCCAGGAGGCAGAGGAACAGGGACAGAGGGGAGGCCCGCCATTGCTTTCAGGGTGACATCTCCAGTGACCTAACTTTGGTACCACAAGTCTGGTCCTCTGAAAGACTCCCCCGCCTCCCATAGTGCCACAAGCCTTCAGCAAATGGGCCTTTCGGGGACTTTTAGCAGCAGCATTAGCCTGGCTTATTTTCACCATCAAGATGACTGACTACTACGTCTGAAGTTATTTAAAACGAGGCCAGAGAGGAGGGAGGCCCCTATCCTGGGACCCATGGTGAGAGCCTGGTGTGTTGAGACAGTGTCCAGCTAGAAGATGCTCTGCTGACCACCTGCCCCAAGGTGTGCTGCTGACTGGTTGGTCTGCCACCCCTGGCCTGCACCTCTGGAGGCTGGCTGCCCACTGTGGGCCCAGGAGCAGGCGCTCTGTGCTCTGTACAGGCCAGGTCTGCACGTAGTCACCCTGGCTGGCCGCTCTGGGTCTGGGTCAGTGTGCAGATTGGAATTGCACAATATCACCACCTCGGTCCACTTCCCAGACCCCGCACCTCACCCACCATCCCCAGACCAGGCTGTTGAGGTGGGGGTTTTCCAAGGGCGTGTTTTCCCAAGTGCAAAGCCGGGCTTCCGCGCCTCCCGGGAGCTTCAAGTCCCCCCGCCCTGCATGGCTACCGAGGACGCCAGCGCTCCTGTTGCCATCAAGAGTGGGGAGTAGGAAAATGCTCTCCAAAGGTGGAAAACGCTTTCCTYGTCTGCTGAAGCATAAAAGAAGTGTCGGTGCCTAACAGCCCTGTGTTGCTCCAGCAGGACTCGAGAACTTTGTATGAGGGGTCTCGGTCTGCGCAGGCCRGCCGGGCATTCTCTTATTTTTACATGTTGAAATAGAAGCAGTACACTCTTAGGTTCACCCAACACTGAAGAGGAAAGCAATCCTCTTATTTCTGGGGTTTTCCAAATACCTTTACAGAAAGGTGCTCAGTTCTTGACCCCATTGTACAGCCAGCTGTTGACTATTGCTGGTTGGTTGATGATCACACTGCTCTGTTGTTGTCTTGTAACCATCTTTTTGACGTCCCTATGTATAAATATAATCACCTCATAAGGTACTGTAGGTTAGGACCTAAACATGTAAATTCTTAGGGGAAGTAATTCAGCTTGACAGGGTAGCCACAGGCAGTGCACAAACATGAATGTGACTGTTCTGGTCACACTTTGTTTATAAAAATTGATGGCAGTGGCTTAGATTTGGCCCATGGGCCATGGTTGAGGGCTTCAGTTATAAATAGCTGTCTTTATCCTTTGTTCAAATTTGAAGACTGTTTTCTGTTGCTATAATAAAATACCTGAGGCCGAATGCTTTATTGAAGAAAAAACATGTATTTAGCTCATAGTATTAGAAGCTAACTGTCCAAACAACGTGGTGCCGACACATCACGGTGGATGGTGTGGTGGGGTGCACATGTGAGAGAGAGATCACATGGCCAGACAGAGGTGCTTTCTTAAAGGTTCCTCCATTGCTTATCTCCCCACCTGGGCACTAAACTTCTGGCACATGAACCACAGCACCATCAAACTAGAAAGAAACGTGAAATACTTTTTAAACCATGTAAAAGCCACAAGTTAGTGATAATCCTCAGATTGGTACTGCCTTTATATGTAAAAGCAAAGTGTTTCTGAGACGAAAGTATCTGAGAACACACCTCTTTTGTATCTTGCTAAGCCACGTGTCTTGATGTGCTTCTTGGCAGATAACCATTCGAAACCAATGGAAATAGATGGGGATGTTGAAATTCCACCCAACAAAGCCACCGTCCTTCGGGGCCATGAGTCTGAGGTGTTCATCTGTGCCTGGAATCCGGTCAGCGATCTCCTAGCTTCTGGGTAAGGCTTTCCGGATGAGGGTGCTCCGGGACAGAGGTCCCAGGTCATTGCTCATCTCCAGTGTCCTGCCTTAGGGTGGTAACATCTTCCTGCTGTGTGCAGGCCAAGCAGTGGGCCTCTCTGGGCCCCTCCTCTGTGGGGGTCTTGTTCTGTGGAGTAGCCATCATCCCAGACCCTTTGTACCTGTGGGGTGGGAAGCGGTACAAAGACATCTAAAACCAGTCCATGCAGAGATGGTGAGGAGGGAAGCTGAGAGGGGTACGAAGAACTGCACGCAGAAGACCACCTGCCGTGTGTGGCTGACCCGGCCAGAGAGTGGGGCCCGTGAGCCTCCCTCCCGTCCAGCTTCGGGCCCAACWCTCCTGTGGTTTTGTCCTGCAGATCCGGAGACTCGACGGCCAGGATATGGAACCTCAATGAGAACAGCAACGGGGGCTCCACACAGCTGGTGCTGAGGCACTGTATCCGGGAAGGGGGACACGATGTCCCAAGCAACAAGGATGTGACCTCGCTGGACTGGAACGTAAGCRTCGTCCGCCAGCCGCGGGGAAGCCTGTGCGCTCAGGCGGGCAGTCTCCTGGGGGTCCCCTGGGTGCTGGCCTAGGGTCCTCCCTTCCCAGAGCTGGTGAAGAGGCTGCGTGGGGCCAGCAGCGAGCTGGGTGGGCCAGGAGCCCTGTGGTGGGAAGGCAGGCCTAGGAGCCTGGGGACGTCCCCTGGGGAGATGCCAAGTGTTCTTGTGGATCTTTCTGCCCCCAGAGCGATGGGACACTATTGGCTACAGGTTCCTATGAYGGCTTTGCAAGAATATGGACGGAAGATGGTGAGTCCTGCGTCCCTCGCGACAGGGTCAGCGGAGGGTGCTTCCCGGTGTGACCATGGGGACCTTATGTTGTCGTGTTCGTCTTTCCTACCCCACAGGTAACCTGGCCAGCACCTTAGGGCAGCACAAAGGCCCCATCTTTGCCTTGAAGTGGAACAAAAAGGGGAACTATATTCTGAGTGCYGGTGTGGACAAAGTGAGTTCCAACCCCAAGCCCTCCATCCCTTCCACCCGGAAATGCAGACTTGCTCTTTTTGGTACCAGGAATTGAACTTGAGAACTTGCCCACCGAGCCCCCTCCCCAGCCCTATTTTGTGTTTAGAGACAGGGTCCCACTGAGTTGCTCAGCACCTCCCTTTTGCTGAGGCTGCTTTGAACATGAGCTCCTCCTGCCTCAGCCTCCTGAGCCACTGGGATGATCGGCATGCGCCACCGCACCCAGCAAAGATGCACACTTATTTTTAATCTTGTGGCTTTTGAGTTCTTGGGCTTACTGAAGGACTTACAGGTGCCGATTGTCTCTGTGGGTTTGATCTGACTGTTAATTTCTAACACATCTGCTCCCGGGGCCTTTGGGTAAGAGCTTTTCCCCTCTGGGCCGTCCAGTGATCGACAGGGTAACCCGAGACCCAGCAGGAGGGTGTGGGGGACCCCCCATGGCCCCTGGAGCCAGTTTGGAATTCGGTACTGTGTCCCTGAGGCAGCACTGTGACGGGGAGGTGACGGCATTAGATCCAGGTGCCTAGGAGCCATCTCTGAGGGAAAAGAGCATAGGACACAGGCTTCTTGGCTGCCAAAGTCTGACGCACCTGGCCATCTCCTCCTCCCTGGGGCCCAGTTTCCTCCACAGTCAGGTGACAGGGCTGGCTGGTGTCATGATCTTCCGGTAACCTTGAGTGGGTRGTGATGTCGCACCTAAGAGCCAGCAGGAATTGTGTAAGTCATGGCTTTGGAAAAGAAATACCAAAAACGGGYGTTGGGTGGGTGGGGAATCTATCCACTGGTGTTTTACACACGGGTAGAGGCCTTTCCTGAATTCTGTAGCCATTTGGTCTCCCACAGGCTTGGTTTTCTGTAATGATTGCAGGATAATTTGGAAGCTTTGCTACGTTACTTTGGATTCATTCCAGTTCTAAAATTGCATATGAAATACCAGACGCAGGACTTGCCATCTTCCATCCATATTCTTGCAAAGCCGTCATAGGAACCTGTAGCCAATATAATAGTCGACCTCCACACATGACCACATTCTTGGAGACACGGTATCTGGGCTGGGCAAACTGCAGTCAACACCCCAATCGGGCCCTGTGGCTGTTCTATAAATAGTTTTATCGGTACACAACCACGTCCGTTTGTTAGAAGTGGTCAAGTGATTTGCACACAGAACGCTTGGTTGTATGGGCAGTCGGCCATTGGGAATCGCTGGCCAGATTAATTATTAAAGTAATTCATGGAAATGACAACCATTTATCTGACGTCACACTACATGTGTTAGCCCACCCAGGGCTCCCGAGATAGGTGGCAGACACTAGTGCTGTCCTCCCCCTTGTACAGAGCAGGAGCTGGCCAGAGAGGTTCATGAATTATCCTAGGTATGCACAGCTGCTGTGGGGTCTAGGGGACATGGGAACCCAGGCCCTGGATCACCAGTAACTACTGCCCTTTGACTTTCTTAGAATTCCAAATAGTTGTGATGAACTACACCGTCATTGGAAATGCATAGTTGGAATTAGTTTAGTCTTTGGGTCCGTAATCTGTCACGATGACCTAGTTAACCATGGCAAGAATAAGGATATCAGTGCTCTTGACAATAAAACCCACCGAGGGGGGTGGTATTACTGGTATTAATGATCTTCAGTTTGTGCTTAACAGAAAGTAGTTAAATTATATTTCAGAAATTTTGAAAAATTTAAGGTTTTTTTATTTAAAAATCCTTGTGTAGGTGATGTTTTTTGTCCAGTATATATTAAATATATCAGTAACTGGATTGTTAATACTTATGTGAAACTGTATCCTAGAATGATGAAAGAATTTATATATTCTGTGCAGTGCCAGGTTTGATTGTACATGGATAAATCAAGGGGAATTATACCACAACACACACACACACACACACACACACAAATACACAAATATTAACCCAGTGGGACATGCTCATAATCCCAACGGCTTGGTATGCCAAGGCAGGAGGACTTTAAGTTCAAAGCCAGCCTCAGCAACTCAGCAAGATGAGCCTGCCTCAAAATTAAAAAAAAAAAAAAAAGTGGGGGGGGGTAGGTGGGTATGGTGCAAAGGTTAAGTGCCCCTCGGTTCAGTGCTCAGTACAAAAAGGTACACACTCACACACATAGAAGTTGGTTGAGCTGACCGTAAACCAAGGAGTACCAAGTTGTAAAGAAGCTTACCTTTCCCGGGCACGCTGGCACACACCCATAATCCCAGGGGCTCAGGAGGCCGAGGCAGGAGGATCATGAGTTTAAAGCCAGCCTCAGCAACTTAGGGTCTCACTGTCTCTCATAAAATATTAAAAAGGGCTGGGGATTGTGGCTCAGACCTCTGGGTTCAATCCCTGGTGCCAATAAATAAAAAGAAACCGAGTGTTCTGAGATTTCCCTTTACAATGCACACAAGATACAACTACTTCTTAAAGCTAAGTCTTTATTAAATAAAGTTTCAAATTAAGTTGGAAATTGCTGCTGATGAAAACGTAACCCCAGTGGGACTGGCTGACCTGCCCGAGGCTCACTCCCTAGGTGCCTTTCTTCCCTAGGGGTCTTAATGAGTTGGTGGGATTCGTGGTTTCCTTGGTCTCCTGACATAAAGGTCACCTTTCCCCCTTCCTGGTGCCAGCCCCAGAGCAGTGCCGGGATTCTGCTGTATCTAGCACAGGTTTAGCATCGCTTATTCGAAGCACTTGGAACCTCAATTATTTAGATAAGATTTGCTGCTGCCTTTTTTAGTGGCTTTCTAAGCTTTGGGATGAAACGGAATCCCTAACCAGTTGTGGTAGATTTCTCAAGTGTGGGTCAGCAGTCTGTGACCACCGGACACTGCACCTGTAGCGGATGAGCTGCTTCCGTGTGGCCAAGTGTAAAACACCCGCAGTATCAGGCTTAGGATGGGAAAACAGATATCTCATTGGTGTCTTTTTTTCTTTTCCTGATCACATATTAAAACATTTCGGCTACATTGCATAACAGGGATCATGTTATTAAAATTTCACTAATTTCTTTTGGTAATGTTACTGAGTCACGATAACCTTGTGACTCGCCTTCTCTATCGGACACTGCTGATTTAGAGGGACCGTGGCTGGTTATCCTCTCTCACCCGGTCCCTTTTCCTAGAGAAATGGTTGAGAGGAGACTGGTCACTGACTCTTTTCTTTGTTTGCGGAGCACAGACAACCATCATCTGGGACGCCCACACGGGAGAAGCCAAGCAGCAGTTCCCCTTCCACTCRGGTAGGTTTGCTGGTTCCTGGTGCTGGGGGGATGCAGAGGCTGCCCCAGGAATTCGTGATGTGGTCAACAAGRGCAGGAACATGCCTGTCCACACCAGAGGCAGCTGGACTCTCCTCCCAAGCAATGCACGKAGGATGAGGTGCCGCCTTGATACGCGGGTGACTGCTGCCCCCCGAGCCTCCAGCAGACTCTACCCTCTTGTTTCCTTCACGYGCCCGGCTTCAAGTTGGGCCTCTGCTTTGTAGCACGTAACTTCCAAGTGTTCGGGGAAGCAGGTGGGCGGGGCCTGCTCTAGGTGCCCTTGCAGAGTGCCCCTGCCCCACCCCCTCTGCAGGTGGCTCCATGGTGGGCCCTCCTGACCACCAAGCACACCTGCCACGTCCCTGCCTGCCCACCGCCCTGCCCACACCACTCCAGTGCAGGTGGGCTTTCTTCCCCCTGGCAGTGAGCCGTCCCCCACAGGGGGGGAGGACAGGACTGCCTGGCTGGAAGTAAGAAGACGGTGACCCAAGTGGCCTCCAGCAGGCCAAGTTCTCAGAGTAGAGAATGTCCGTTGGTGCCGCCTTCGGCATCTCCCTCTGGAATAAGCTCATCTCTTCTTACAATTGCTTCTATTCTATAAGCGAGCTTTCAAAATGTCACCAAAGCACACATTGGTCCCTAAGTGAAGCTGAGCTAATCTGAAGTCCTTTTTTTTAAAAAACAACAAAAAAAAAACTTTCATTCCTTCCTTTCTTTCCACCAAAAATAATTTCCACTGGAAATACAATATAGTGAAGCTCTAGAACTCTGCTATCATGAAATAAAAAATACAGCCAGGTGCTGTGGGCCACGCCTGGACTCCCAGCCCCTTAKCAAGACCCTATCTCACAATAAAAAGGGCTGGGGTGTAGCTCAGTGGTGGAGCATCCCAGGTTCGRTCCCAGGTATTGTTTTTTTGGCAGGGTCTGAACAGAAGCACTGGGCTGCTGAGTCCCATCCCCAGCCCTTTTTACATTTAGAGACAGGGTCTCACTGAATTGCTGAGAGCCTCACTAAGTTACTGAGGCTGGCTTTGAACTCGTGATCCTCCTGCCTCAGCCTCCCRAGCTGCTGGGATGACAGGCGTGCACCACCACACCCGGCTTGCTAAGGCCCCTCAGTAGGAGAGAAGATCCCATGAGGAGCTACCCTTGTCCTTTGCTGCTCCTCCCGTGGCCGTTTTACCCCCACTTCTCCATCCCYGTCACTGGTGTGTGAAGGACCCTTAGGAGGTACCCCGGTGGGCTGRTACCTCCACTGGAGGCAGGAACCTAGGAGGCCAGCAGCCACCTGGAGTGAGGAGTGACCACTTGAGCCCTGGGTACCCAAGGGGAGGTGGAGAGAGCCATACCCAGACCTCTCTCCAAGGACTCGGGAGAATTAAAGCCACACTGCCTTGGAAACAGGGTGGTGCTGACGACCGTGCTACACCATCCACATCTCTCCCCAGCTTGGCCAGTCACTCGATGCCTCCCCTCGCTCATGCTCACCTGAGGCCCTACACTAATGTGCACAGTTGCATCTGAGACCCGGGCCGTGRCAGTCAGGGGCAGAACATGGGTTCRGACCCTGCTGGCTGGGATGTTGGCAGCCTGGTTCCTGCCTGGTCTTCCTGTGCCTCTCGGGTGGAGGCGAGGAGGAAGTACCATGAAGACGGTCGCCATCCTCAAAGCCCAGAGCAGAGCAGAGCTGCTGTTGGAGCTACTTTCATGTGAGGGGGACCCAGGAGTGAAGAAGGCTGTTCTTCACAAGTCCTGATCCATGTCCCAAGGGATTGCTGTTGGCTCCAGTTAAACGCCAGTCAAACCAGGTGTAGTGGTCTACACCTGTGGTCCCAACGACTTGGGAGGCTGAGGCAGGAGGCCCACGCTCATGGCCAGCCTCGGCAGCTTGATGAGCCCCTAAGCCACTTCGCAAGACTGTCGCAGAATAAAAACTAAACAGGGCTGAGGATGTGGCTCAGCAGTAAAGTGCCTCTGGGTTCAWTCCCCAGTACCCTCCTGCCCCCCGACCCCGCCCAAAAAGAAAACCAATCAGTGGCGTGATCAATGCATCGCACATTTTTCTAATTGAAGCATTTTGAACAAAGGATAGAAGGCTTTCTCCTGTCCTTTATCTCCTTCCTGTGTGAACGCAAATCAGTTGAGCCCCACACAGTCACCCTGCTGGAACCCAGCAAGTTGGAGGCACAGGAGATGCTGTTGCCATAGCAAGTACCCTTCCGCTCATGCCCGGGGCGGGACACTGCCTGCCCCGGGCACAGCCAGGGTCTTAGGACTTTTCCAGAGGAACCTTGTCCCTGCAAATGGAGACCGACTTTAAGGTCCTTGCAGGAAAGACACTGTTCACACTGGGAATGGTTTTGTGAAGTCGCTGCTGTGCTTTTGGCTCTTCCCACCTGCCCTAGCCACGTGCACAGCTAACRCCCACATCCCGTCTCTTCCCTCCCGCAGCCCCCGCTCTGGACGTGGACTGGCAGAACAACACTACCTTTGCCTCCTGTAGCACGGACATGTGCATCCATGTGTGCAGGCTCGGCTGCGACCGCCCAGTCAAAACCTTCCAAGGGCACACAGTAAGTGGGGGTTCCCATGGTCGGCCCCGCTCACCAGGATGCGAGGTGGGAGTGTTGCCTCTCACCTAGAAGGAGGCGATGTCGCGGCAGACCAGTGGGTCTAGAACCCTTTGCACTGGAGCGGTGGTCGCTACAACCCAGTTGTGGGGAGGGAAGGATGAAAACTCCGTCACRTGACCCGCTGTCAGATTTTGCAATGAAGGCCATTAAGTCGATAGGAGAGTATGTAAAGGCAYAAAGAAAAAGATGCTCATAATAAATGAATAGACAGGAAATGTTCACTGAGAATGGAGAACCGTGTTTTTGCGGGAGCAGGGGTACGAAGAATAGTTTCTCTGGRTTAGGCCAAGAGGAGTGAAGAGTGGAGGCGCGTGTGAGTAGGAAGGAGAGTAGAATCAGATGTTGTTACCCTGTGTGCACATGAGTGCGCGGCTAGTGATTSCACATCATAGYACAACCAGAAGGAGAAGTTATACTCCATTTGTGTATCGTGTATCAACGTGCATTCTACTGTCATGTGTAACTAATTAGAACAAACTAAAAAATAAAAACCAGGCTCAGTGATACACAACTCATCCCAGCAACTTGGGAGGCTAAGGCAAGAGGAGGATTGCAAGTTCGAGGCCAGCCTCAACAATTTAGCCAGACCCTGTCTCAATAAACTAAAAAGGGCTGGGAATGTAGCTCAGGGGTTGAGTCCCCAATAAAGCAAAAAGATGGATTCCTTAGCGTGGCCTCGGGGGCTCTACTGGGTCTGTCCTTGGGGTGCCTGGGTACGTCCTCAAAGCAGCTGTGCCCCGATCCTCCTGGAATACCTGTGACTGAGCATCACACGGCGACCCTCTGCCTCTCACAAGCCCTTCCCATCTCCCAAGACGTCACTCAGAAGTCCCGGGCCCCACTGGGAGTGTCSTGGCACTAGCTGGGCATGGTGCCCAGGGCACAGCCTTGCTCCTGGCCTCRGGGTGGCTGGCATTGCTTACTTCTGTGTCCACCTCCTGCAGAACTTGGAGAATCAAAGCCAGGGCCAAGGCTTCTCCATCTTTGTCACCAGTGCCCAGAACGGCATTCAGTGCTGGACCATCCCCAGAGGGCAGTGGGGGAGGTCAAAGCCATCACGCTGCTGCTGTAACTTGAGGCATGAGTGCCACCGTCCCCAGCCTTGCTCACTTCCCTGGTCGGCACCCACCTCTCCCAGCTCCTGGCCCCGCGAGTCCCTCAGAAGGGGCTTCCCGAGCCTGGGCGTCGGYGGTCCTGACAGCGTCTCCCTGGGGCTGTGCCGCGTTTTTCTGGGCTGAGCTGTTCTCTGGCCCTGTTCTGTCCACCACTGTTAAGGGGCTGCCCGGGGTCTGATTCCTAGCGGCCCTGCCTTTGCCTCCGCCGCACCGCTTGGCTCTAGAAGTGGGTCTTGATTGCTGCTGCTCCTTCTAAGCCGAGCTCTGGCTGAACGGGTCGAATGGAGGCTGCTCCTCCCCGAGCRAGACCTGTGAATGAGCTGCTTCTGGACGCTTCCCAGGGATTGTGACTTGGGTGGCAGAGGGAGGAAGTTCCACTCCTGGGAAGGAATCCATTTCTCCCTGGAGGACTGAAGGGGGGGTTCAGCTGGGGATGGACGTCGGTGCTCAGCAGCCCTAAGAGATCTGCCTGTGGGCTCGCTCCTCTCCACAGCTGCAGCAGGGACGGATGCCCAGACTGCCCCAGGGAGGATTTTGTTCCTCCTGCGTGTGTTTTCCTGTCCAAGACAGCCTGGGTCCGTGTCCCTTGCACTTCTGTGTGGCCTGTGGGTGTGGATTTGTGCCTTGGGGTTGCATTGCTGTCTAGCCGGGCAATCCTGTGTCCCGTCTTGACCTCCCTGTCCACCTATCTTGTGTGTGTTTAAGGTACTGGGGACTGAGCCCAGGCTGCTCTACCCGCTCTACCCAGTGCCTCCCCCCACCTTTATGTTAGAGTCTAAGTTGCTAAGGCTGTCCTGGTATTTGCCATCCTCCTTCCTCAGCCTCCTGGATTGCCGGTGCATACCACCGCGCCTAYTTAAAGCGCATAGGAAAATGGTGTCCAAAGTCCAGCTTCAGAAATAGCTGTGGTTTTATTGGTTTTCTTTGCCCTCCTTGTTACATGTGAATTCTTCATTTGGCTTTCATCCTAGTAGAGATTTTTTTCGTGAAGGAAGTATGCCTGGGAAGGCTGATGAGTGTGGTTCTTACCTCTTGGGCCTGCAGGGTAAATCCCCAGGCCAGGGCAAGGCGGGCAGAGCGCCACCGCCCCCTGGTGGAGGGCCRCCTTACTGCCCTTCCGACACACACAGGCTTCCATTTCTTTCTGAAATCCTTTCCCTTCTTGCAGAATGAGGTCAACGCCATCAAGTGGGATCCTTCAGGAATGCTGCTAGCGTCCTGCTCTGATGACATGACMTTAAAGGTGAGGCCAGCGTCTCGCGGGATGGACCGTTCAATCCTGGACAAGCCCCCATGTTCCCCAGGGTCTCACATTCCGCCCCCCTGTTGGTTTTTGTGGGGATACCTCCTCTGTAAGTTTCCCCCTCACCAAGGCAGCSAATGCCCAAATGTCAGCCAAGGGCTCTGCTGAGGGTCTTCACTTGTCTGAGTCCTTGTCCACTCCCCCACCCTGCTGGGATCCCGCGGGCCGGCAGCCAGAGGAGCACCCCCAGGATGAGAGGTGCTGACCCACCCCAGGTTGGGGATGCGTTGCTCATGTCCTTGGCCATGCCCTCTCCAGATCTGGAGTATGAAGCAAGACACGTGCGTTCATGATCTTCAGGCTCACAGCAAAGAGATCTACACCATCAAGTGGAGTCCCACGGGACCAGCCACCAGCAACCCCAACTCCAACATCATGTTAGCAAGGTAAGGGGATCCAGCCCGCATGCTYCCGTCTCCCCCTCGGGAATGCAGCCTTAATTCACTCTTGATTTTTTTGGTACCAGGGATGGAACTCAGATATACTCCACCACTGAGCCCCATCCCCAGCCCGATTTTCTATTTTATATAGAGACAGGGCCTTGCTTTTGCTGAGGCTGGCTTTGAACTCACGATCCTCYTGCCTTGGCCTCCTAAGTGGCTGGGGTTACAGGCCTGCACCGCTGTGCCCGGCTTAATTCACTCTTGACCAAAAAAGAGAATTTTGCTGGTGTGTCCCCAGTGTTTTGAAGCCCATCCAGCTAGACAGAAGGCTACTGCATTTTGAAGGTGCCAAGGAGGTAATACCGTTTCCTCTGGGTATCCATAGGGGTTGGTTCCTGGATGAGCTGTGGATACTGAAATCACAGGTGTGGTGCTCAATCCCTCATGTGTTGGCATATAACTTGTGCACGTCGTCTAGAACTTCACATCCTGTGTAGCTCACTTGATATCTAAGTGCATGAGCCATTGTTAGACGGCATTGTTGAGGGCCTGTGGCGTATTCAGTACCGGCAGTCTTTTTCCTAGTTGTTTCTGATCTGTGGTTGATGGAATCTGCCGTTGCACCCCCTTGCAGATGTGAAGGGCCAGCTCAATCAGATGAGGCCTGATTGCTTTAGCTGTGAGACCAGTAGGAGGAATCGCATCTGTATCAGGCCTCAGGAATTTGGCTTTAGCAAAAATTTTTTACTATAACAAAACTGAAAGCCTTCAGCTTAGACCTGGGTTTGCTGCATCCCACTCAGAGCTGCTAGCAGCAGGAATTTGGGGTGGAGATCAGAGGTTCCCCAGCTCCAGCCAGATCTGCCTGCCCCAACATTTGACAGTGAATTTTCTAAGATACCAGAACTGGGAAAGCGTGGTCATTGGGAACAAAGGTGACCTTCCCAAAAGGCAGAGCTTCAGGCCACAGAATCRCTGCATGCATCCTGATGCACACTGTACCCCAAGGATGTGGCAGTCCACTCTGGGTTTGTTTTCTTGTAGTTCTGAGGATGGAACCCAGYGCCTTGGCACACCAGCCAAGTGCTCTGCCACTAAACTACACCCGCAGCCCTAATGCTTAGAAGAACATTGTTGTGACATATGCATGCAATCCCAGCAATTTGGGAGGCTGAGGCAGGAGGATTGCAAGTTTGAGGCCAACCTGGGCAACTTGGCCAGGAGCTGGATTTGACTCTGAGCAATGCAAAAGAAAAACCGGAAGTAAATGAGTATCCATTTGTTTCCCTTATAACAGCGCCAAAGATAAAGCGCCCTGTAGTGTCTTGAGTTTATATTCCAGAAGAGAAAACGCGCTCTGGTTTGTTGTTCGCTCACGGCAGAGGCTGGAGCGAAAGGCTTCTGAGAGTGCGTGAGGCGTCGTAGAGATCTGTGAGAAGCTGGCCTGCTGACCTGCTCCTGCTTTCTGTGCTTCTCTTCCCAGTGCTTCGTTCGATTCTACGGTGCGACTGTGGGATGTSGAGCGGGGCGTTTGTATCCACACACTAACCAAACATCAGGAACCTGTCTACAGTGTAGCCTTCAGTCCTGATGGCAAATACTTGGCCAGTGGCTCCTTTGACAAGTGTGTCCATATCTGGAATACTCAGGTAATCTCGCCGCCCTGCGGCCCCAACCTTCCCCAAGCTTGCAGCAGTGACTCTGTTAGGACGGCCTAAAGCAGAGAGCAAGGCTGGACTCCCCAGGCCGACCCAGCAAGTGCTGCCTGCCTTGTGCTCCCAAGGGTGTGGGGTCTTCCCCTCCCCGAAGCCTAGAGCAGGTCCCTTCCTCCGGGAGGTGTCCGTCTCTGGTGTCCCCAGAGTTCTGGGCCGATGACCCGGAGCCAAGCTCTGAGCCTGTCCTGTTGGAAGACCTTCTACAAGGAGTTGCCATCTTCAGTGCTCTGGGGAAAGCTGGAAAGGCTGCCCCCTGGTGGAGGGTGGTGGGAGGCGTCCCTTTATCTCAGCAGCCCCAGGGGACCAGCCAACCGGGACCCGGCCAGCGCCACTGTGGTAGCACCATGTCAATACTGGGCTGTCCTTTCACAGGGGACTAAAAACAATCAGGAGAGCTCTTGATTCTCATCTTGATAGCTTGTTGTATGTTTGTTGTGCTGGGGATCCAATGCAGGGCTTCAGGCTTGGGGGCCAGCRCTGTGCCCTGAACTTGACCCAGAACCCTTTATTCCCATTCTAATGGAAGAGAAGGTGGTGTGATTGAAGCCACTGGAAATAACCAAGGATCTAGGTTTCTTCCAAGTACATTTTGCTGCCATTTCATAGAGATCGAGGGGCTGGGATAYGGCTCAGTGGTGGAGCGCTTACCTGGTATGCATGAGACCCTGGGTTCAGTCCCTAGCACTGCAAATAATAAGGCTGATRATGCTATATATGCACGTGTCTATGTGTGCATAAGTAAATGTGTGTAGGACCAAACCAATATGGGCAAGAAATAAAAACAAAATAGGGTGGACCCCTGGGTAATACCACCCTTTAAAGACTCTGGTTGATGACAGCCCATTGGCCCAGTCTTGGGACATCTCCCACTGTAACCAGTCCAGTGTTGAGGGTTTGAGTCTCCCCAGCACCTGCTTCACACCTCTCTGGCGCTTGTCAAGTTAACGCTGTCCGGTTCCCACCAGAAGCTAATAGCCCGTGGTCTTAGCTAGCACCCCGGGAACAGAGGGGCATGCATTTGTTCTTTCAAACTACTTGTCCAGGGAATAACTTCCATGACATGTTTGTTGAGAGACTTACTGATGGTCATTACATAGCTGCCTGATTCTTGGAAGACCTGAAGGCACCCAAGTGGTACCCCTTGACTAGTGACCAGACACCTGGACAGGAGTTGGGGGGTGACACACTTGTGGTGGGAATTGGGAAGGAAAAAGCTGTAGAGGATAGGGAGAACCCAGACCACGAGGTTGGTGTGTCCCCCAGCAAGGGGGTCAGCAAGGAAAGGGCCAAGGTCACAGCTCAGTGTTGGAGCACTAGCCAGGCACGTGGGAGGAGGCCCTGGATTCCATCCCAAGTGCCATTAAAAAGAGAAATCCAGGGGCTGGGGCTCAGCGGTAGAGCACTCGCCTGGCATGTGCAAGGCGCTGGGTTTGGTCCTCAGCACCACATAAAAATAAATAAAAAAAGGTATAAAATATCACATCGGTCTTTAATAAGAATTTTTTAATTTTAAGAGCCAGTGGGTAGTCCCTGAGGCACATGCGTGCGGCCCACAGCCCCAGCTGACCTAGGCTCCCCGCACCCCCAGTCTCTCGCTGAGGACAGCCATGGCCAGTKCTCTGGGGGTCGGGGGCAGTCCCATCCTTGAGAGTTGGTGGTCTGAGGGTTACATGTCCACAGCCACCAGAGTCAAGGGGAAGTCCTTTTCGGCACTCCACAGTGGGACATTTTTGTGATGGACAGTGGGGACGCGTGAGGAGGAGTGACCGTTGTACCCCTGCCAGTTGGCGGGCTCCTCGCCTAGCAAGTGACGGTTGCTTTCCTTTGCAGAGTGGAAGTCTCGTCCACAGCTACCGGGGCACAGGTGGCATCTTCGAGGTGTGCTGGAACGCTCGAGGAGACAAAGTGGGCGCCAGTGCGTCSGATGGCTCTGTGAGTGGCACCTCAGGTTGCTGGGGACTGGAGTGGGTGGGGGACACCCAGGGAACTTCCAGGCTCCCCGTCCTGCAGCTCCGGCACTCGGCAGGCGCTCCACCTGCTGTTGCGTGAAGGAATCTCCCATTGGGGTGGGTACCACGTCTGGGCCTGCCCTTCTCTTGGTCCTGTAGTCGGCATCCTTTCGACTGAGTTTGGTTCTCAAACTGGGCGACTGCTGTCTCTCTGAGGGGAGATGGTAGACAGGAGCCTTTGGGGTCAGGGCTGATTTCAGGAAGGGCACTACTGGCCTCTTGTAGGTGGAGACCAAGATGCGGTTAAACCTCCTGCCATGCCCAGAACATCCCTGCAGCACAGAAGTGGCCGACCCAAATGTCCCTAGTGCCAGGGTTCGGAGACTTGCTCAGTCTCAGCTGTGCATTCCTGCCTCAGCCTGGGCCCCGCGGGTGGCAAGAGGTGGCCTTCCATTCGGCAGGTCCCCTGGGTCCCTGTTCTATTTCTGTGGCATGTCCAGATTTTTATTCCCTCCAGGACTTGAGGCTGCCCTGACCGCTGAGGCAGGGGCAGTGTCTGCCTGCTTGGCCAAGTGTCGGCGTGTTCCCCAAGGGCAGGGTTGTGTGGTCTGTGTGCCCACGACTGTGGCTGCTCTGTGGGTTCCTAAGTTGTCCTTGACCCGACTTTCCCCATTGATCTTATTCACTTGATGAGCTGCTCAGAAATCAGCCTATTACTACAGATTGTCCCTTCAGGATTCTGTTCCAATAGAAGGTGATTTTTATTTTTATGGTACAGGGATTGAACTCGGGGGACTTGACCCCTGAGCACATCCCAGCCCTTTTAAAAAGTATTTGAGCCAGGGTTGAAGTTGCTTAGGGCTTTGCTTAAGTTGCTCTCCCGACTTCCAAATTCGGATCCTCCTGCCTCGGCCTTCTGAGCCACTGGGATWACAGGTGTTGGCCACCGTGCCTAGGAAAAAACTTTTTTTTTTTTTTTTTTAATAAACTAGACTGGCCAGAATTCTCAAGAGCCACACACAGACTTGTGTTCTGGGGGAAAGAAAAAGAATTGCAGGTGTAAGCAGAGGGTTCTGGGAGGAAGATGCRAACAGGATTGTGGAAGATGCAGGGGATTATGGGAGAAATGAGAACTGGATTGTGAGAATCCAGGGAACAGGATTCTGGGAGAAGCCAGGGGTCAGTGGGAGAAATAAGAACAGGAGATACTGGGAGGAGGAGGACTGGCAGGTCGGAGCACAGGATTGTGGGGAAATTAAGAGCCAGAGGATTCTGAGAACCAAGGGGTTCCAGGAGGAATAGAGAAGAGGATTCTGGGTGAAGGAAGTATTTGGGGTCAGCATACAGGGTTCTGGAAGGAAGGGGAGAAATGGGTTGTGGGAGAAGTAAAGGATTGTGAGAAATAAGTGAACATAATTCTGGGAGAGGTAAGGAATTGTGGGAGAATCAAGTGACCCAAGAAGTCAGAGAGGTCTTGACAGAGGAGGTAGGTCTTGACAGAGGATTCTGGGAGGGAGGGAAGAAGGGAATTGGTGAAACAAAGGATCATGGGAGAAGAATTGTGGGAGAAAGGACTCATGGATCAGAGCAACGGATTCTGGGAGGAAGGTGAGAGCAGGATTGTAGGGAAAGMAAGGAATTGTGGGAGAATCAAGCTACYASAGGATTCTGGGAGAATGAAGGGCTTGTGTGTCACAGCTGATTCTGGGAGGAAGATGTGAACAGGATTGTGGGAAAGTGAGGGCCAGGGGGTTGTGGGAGGAAGGAGGATTAGCCAGTCAGAGCAGGGGATTCTGGGAGGAAGGTGAGAACAGAATTACAGAAAAAGCAAGAAATTGTGGGAGAATTAAGGGACAGGATTCTGGGAGGAAGGAGGACTTGGGKGTCGGGSCAGAGGATTCTGGGATAAAGTAGGACTTGCCAGTCCGTGGCAGAGGATTCTGGGYGAAAGAACAGGATTATAGAAAAAGCAAGGAACTGTGGGAGAATCAAGCTACCAGAGGATTTGGGGAGTAGCACGGGATTATGGGAGGATCAAGCTACCAGAGGATTCTGGGAGAAAGAAGGGCTTGTGTGTCACGGTTGATTCTGGGAGGAAGGTGTGAACAAGACTGAGGGATAATTGAGGGCCAGAGGGTTCTGGGAGAARCAAGGGGTTGTGGGAGGAAGGAGAACAGGATTCTGGGATTAAGGAGGATTAACTGGTCAGAGCAGGGGATTCTGGGAGGAAGGTGAGAACAGAATTACAGGAAAAGCAAGGAATCGTGGGAGAATTAAGGGACAGGATTCTGGGTAGAAGGAGGACTTGGGGGTCGGCAGAGGATTCTGGGAGGAAGGTCTGAACAGGCTTGTGGGAGAAGTAAAAGATTGTGAGAGAAATAAGTGAACTGGTTTCTGGGAGAGGCACAAGATTGTAGGAGAACCAAGTGACCAGAGAATTCCTGGAGAAAGGAGGTTTTGTAGGTCGTGACAGGATTCTGGGAGTAAAAAAGAGGATTGTGGTTGAAACAAAGAATTAAGGGAGAAGAGGATTGTGAGAGAAGACTAGTGGGTCAGGGCAGAGGGTTCTGGGAAGGTGGTGAGAAGATTTTAGAAAAAGCAAGGAATTGTGGGAGAATTAAGGGACAGGATTTTGGGCGAAAGGACTTGCAGGTCCAGGCTAAAGGAGAACTTGCAGGTCCCACGGCAGAGGATTCTGGGCGAAAGGTGAAAACAGCATTGTAGGAAAAGCAAGGAATTGTGGGAGAATCAAGCTACCAGAGGATTCAGGGAGAAGCAAGGGATTGTGGGAGAATCAAGCTACCAGAGGATTCTGGGAGAAAGAAGGGCTGTGTGTCAGGCTGATTCTGGGAGGAAGATGTGAACAGGATTGTGGGATAATTGAAGGCCAGGGGGTTGTAGGAGGAAGGAGGATTAGCCGCTCAGAGGAGGGGATTCTGGAAGGAAGGTGAGAACAGAATTATAGGAAAAGCAAGAAATTGTGGGAGAATTAAGGGACAGGCTTCTGGGAGAGAAAAGGATTTGGGGGTCGGGGCAGAGGATTCTGGGAGAAAGGACTTGCAGGTCTGGGGTAGAGGATTCTGGACAAAAGGAGGACTTGTGGGTCCGGGGGCAGAGGATTATGGGCGAAAGGAGAGAGGATTGTAGGAAAAGCAAGGAATTGTGGGAGAATCAAGCTACCACAGGATTTAGGAGAATGAAGGGCTTGTGTGTCACGGCTGATTCTGGGAGGAAGGGGGTCAGGGCAGAGGATTCTGGGAGGAAGGAGGACTTGGGGTGGGGCAGAGGATTCTGGGAGGAAGGAGGACTTGGGGTGGGGCAGAGGATTCTGGGAGGA